GCCCAATGTGCTGCTCTACGCATTTCCTCCACTCAGGTCAGGGTGAAAGAACAGAGCCTGTCTCTGATTTTGATAGCACCCAGGTGGCCCAAATCTCCATGGCTGACAGAGATAATTCCTCTTCTGTATGTCCAGCCATGGCCCCTCCCATTACACATGGACCTCCTGTCCCAAGTGAACAGGGAAATCTACAATCCTCACACAGAAAGGGTGGCCCTCTGGGCCTGGCCCGTGAGAGGGCAAACTTAAACACATTGGGGATCCCCCCATATATTGTTGCTACCATTCAGAATGCCACAGCATTCTTCTACATGCTCCCTTTATGATTGCAAGTGGTGTGTGTGTGGAGTGGTGCGAGGGGCGCCAGCTGATCTCATATCAGTGCTCAGTAGTTGACTTTTTTTTTTGCAAGACCTTATCGATGGTGGTAAATCCTTTTCCATTATTAAGGTCTATTTAGCGGCTATCGCTGCATGTCATGTTGGGATTGATGGCACTACAGTGGGGAAGCACCCCCTTATTCGTAGATTTATGAAGGGCACCCACCGTTCCCTTCCAGTCACTAGAAGAGCAGTTCCAGAATGTGACCTCTCCATGGTGCTGGAGGCCTCGTCTCAGCCTTTTGAGCCCCTGGTAGATGTGATGTGATGTGATGTGATGTGACATGTGGCCAGGCATGGTGACCCATACTTGGAATTAGTGCTCTGCATTTAACCCATCCAAAGTGCACACACACAGCAGTGAACACACACCCGGAGCAGCGGGCAGCCATTTTTTTTGCTGCGGCGCCCGGGGAGCAGTTGGGGATTCGGTGCCTTGCTCAAGGGCACCTCAGTCGTGGTATTGAAGGTGGGAGAGAGCGCTGTACATTCACTCCCCCCACCTACAATCCCTGCAGGTACGAGACTCGAACCCACAACCTTTGGGTTACGAGTCCAACTCTCTAACCATTAGGCCACGACTTCCCTAGGAGAATGTTCTTGCATTGGCCGGGAATCGGACCTGGGTCTCCCGCGTGGCAGGCGAGAATTCTACCACTGAACCACCAATGCTTGACTTAATGGAGATATCTCCATTAAGCTTCTGTCCATATCTCCCATAGGTGGATCTCGAACACAAGATGATGAAAGAGAACAATAGGTTACTGTTCATAACCCCGGTTCTCTGAAAAATTGGAGAGATCCACCAAGTTTGCCCCACTTGCTGCACGAGAAGTGAATATGCTCACTGAGGAAAGGTAGTGCGTGCAGGGGTTTTATACACTCGGTTAAGGGGCGGCCCCTTACCTGCCATTGGGCACACTCTCCTGTCTGTCAAGCCAGACTTGGTGCAATTAGATGCTTCTGCAGAGGTCAGGCACGGATGCCCTTCCCATAGGTGGATCTCTCCACTCTATGTTTTAGAGAACCGGGGTTACGAACAGTAACCTATTGTTACAACACAACGGCAGTATGATGCACTTAAATGAATGAGCCTCTTAGCTTAGATAGCAGATTAATTACCTCACCTGCTTTCACTCGCTATTACTTGTGTTCGACTTGAAGCAGTGCTGTGCAGATTGATCGGTGTTTGACATCAAAGTATGCGAGAACGATTCGAAAGCTTACAGAACTGTCTGCTCTCCATAGCTCTCGCAGTACTTGGATGTCAAACACCGATCGGTCTGCGCAGCACCGCTTCGAGTCGAATACACCTGGGGCCTCATTTATAAAATGTGCGTATGCACAGATTTGATCTTAGTATGCGTACGCTAAAACTCGGCAGACTTCAGTTTCATTCCTTTGGACAAATAAAACCACATAAATGAGTCAATAGTTGAATCTGGAGCAGCTCAGATCATCTGGGGCCTCATTTATAAAATGATAAAATCTGTGCGTACGCAAAAATCCACGGCAACGTTCATATGTATAAAAACGGTCTTTGACATGGAAAAGTACTTACCGCCACGTCAGGGTCTGAGCAGGCGTAAGCACTTCTCCTTGTGGCAAAGTCGGAGTACTGCAGCTATTTGAACATCTAAGCTGCAATAATAAAAGCGGTGTACGTGCAAGCACCGAATTCATCATGAACTTGATTGCATCATTAATGCTTCAGATGTATTTCCAAGAAAAAAAACATAGTCTTATATTCGGGACAATACGGTATTATTTTATTTTACAAGAGAACTTGCGAAGTCCTGCTTTAGCCTACTACTAATGCGTAAAATTTATTTTATTATATGAAACGTCCAATTTTTCTTTCAATGTTTTTTTTAAAGTTTTGCAAGAATTTTGTGATGTTAAACTTTTTATTAGTGGTCCCTTTTTATAAAATTTTACTTGAATTCGTAGTTTATTCTTACATTTGGAAACCTAATTGTTTTATAATTATAATTATTATTATTTCTGTTGTTTCTAGAAGTAGTAATTTTGATCATAGTCAATTGAAAAAATATAACACACAGTTTGTCCACAGAATAATTACACATTATTAAATAAAAAGCGTCCCCGCACGAACCTCTACCTCCGCCAGCAGGACCTCAATTTCAGACTCAGTAAAGTTTTTCTATTTTCTTTGTGCTCTTCATTCTCAAGCATAGAAATACGGATATTGGCGTGTGCTCTTTTATATGGTAATAATATTAATTAGGGGGCGTTTACAAGGTGGAGATCTGACACCAATCAGCTGCGCACAATTTCAAGATCATTTGTGATTTATAAATGTCACATCTGGAAGGGAGGCGTACGCACGTGTTTTTGTGCGCACGTTCGTTTTCTCTGAATCGCACTTACGCACTTTTGAGAAATGATCTTAGAACAAATGTAGGACGGTTTATACGCAACATTGTATAAATGAGGCCCCTGTTCTCTGGGTGTTCCGAGAGTTTGTGAAATACTGTCGTCATCAACAAGAATGTTACCGGAAGCTGCTTAGCGCTGTCGCTAAGCAACGAGGTTTAACAATTAAGGAACAAGCACTGATCTATAATAGAGAATAGTCATTATATAGATCAGTGGGAACCTCACTTTTCTTTATTGCCTGCAGGATCAGCTGTCGAATGTCAAATCAGCCAAATTTCAGAAAATGTCCAAATTCCTTACATGTGATCTTTAAGGCATTATAAATAAAAAATATAACTGAATAATGTGTTAGCGCATGTTCTGATTTTGCAGAAGAAAAAAAAAAACGTAGAAATTTTGAAAAAGCCAAAACATTAAATGCTTTTGATCAATATTTAATACATTGAGAAATAATCCATTATTTTGTTTTATATTTTTTCCTATGATTTGCAGCAAAACTATAGGTAAGACAACAAATAGGCCTATTATCGGAAAGATGTTTGCGTCATTATTTTGTCTTTATGTTAGACTCATAAACCCTGTCGACTTTGTAACATACAAATTACTCCAAAATTTCAAATAAATACACTTTATATTTTTAAGAATTATTTTTATTAGGGTATGTACATGCGTTTCCAATGCAACGCTATAAACGGGGTCTTTTCTTAAGTATGGGCTTGTACAGATTTAAATAAAAATAATACAAATTTCAATTTGAGCCACATTAACAGGCACCTTGATATCAATTTGAAGTCAAATATTATTCAAGACTTGATCAAGATGCTGTAACATCATTATAAAATTCAGTTTGGACGGCAATTTCATCCAGTGGTAATTGAAATTGGTTTAATGTATATGTAGGCCAATATGTTTGACATTCAATTTACATGAAATCAACGTCATGTCACGTTTTTGACGACAGTTTGATTTGTGTATTTTCTCAGTTTTTTTACCAATTGCCCACTGGGTATCCCACAATGCCAAGAGCTCAAACTTTTATTTCCAGTATGATCATTGATATTCGTGATCAAACTGTCAAAATCTGAGATGGTTTTACAAGAAAAAAAATGCTAATTTAAATTATTAAATTTAATGGTCATAATGGTAGTATACGGTAGGCTAGTTCTCCTTTCTGAACAGCACAAGTAGAATACATGTAACATCGAGGAACAAAGAATTATTTTTAAAGCTTTTTCGTCGGTTCAATTGAAATGACCTGTCCAAAACAATTTATTTAGTGAATGAATCAAAATGACCACTAGATGGCACTAATAGTCATGTTTAATGTAAAGTTGTTTACGGTGTCATTTTTGTACAGGTGCACAATGACTATCTTATAACTTACAGAAAGCTCATTTAAGGAGCTTTTCCCCATTGTGTTCTAGATATAATTTTGATTTGTGCAAATCTTTGAGCACAGTTTAATACATTAACAAGCTGTAAAATACTGCTATTGGAATGGAAATTTAAAAAAAAACTTTTTTTTTTTTTTTTTTACAGCTACCTTTATTTTTATAAAAATACAAAACTTAAAAAAAAAAATAAAAAAAAAAGGTTTCCATAGGAAAGCAATAAAGATGCAATCCCATCTCTTTCATATCCATTTCAAATGCATCAGTGGCATACATTTCAGGTCAATAATACAGATTTCAGGTCAAAAATAATATTAAAATTAACTTACTAATCAAGTATAAAATGGATTGGTCACTGAGGAGGAGGAAATCTGTATGAGTCTGTGTGAAGGGTAAGATCTCATTTTCAAAGATTGAAAAGCAGCCAGAATCTGGCCTCATTTTACAAGTATGGCAAAAAAAAAAAAAAAGAAA